AGAAAAAAAAAAAAAAAAAAAAAGAAGAGTATTTTTTGGTATGGTTGGATGTAAATGAAGAAAAAGAAATAAAGGAAAAAAAAAAAGAGGAAAAAGAAAAAAAAAAAAACAAAAAGATAAAAAAAAAAAAAGGAAAAAAAAAAAAAAAAAAAAGAAAAAAAAAAACAAACAAAAACAACAAACTGATATATAAAAAAAAAAACAAAAAAAAAAAAAAATATGTACTATAAAAAAAAAAAATATACTCTCGGAAAAGAAGGGCAACGGGAAAAAAAAAAAAAAAAAAAAAAAATTAAAAGAAAAAATGGGGAGGGGAGAAAGGGGGGGGGGGGGGGGAGGGGTGGGGGGGGGGGGTGTTGTTTTGGGAAAAAAGGGAGTTTGAAGAGAAAAAATTTGAAAAATAATTTTTAATTTTTTTTTTTTTTTTTTTTTTTTTTTTTTTCTTTTTTTGAAAAAAAAAAAAAAGGGGGTTTTTTTGTTTGGGTTTTTTGAGGTTTTTGAGAATAATAAAAAAAAAAAAAAAAAAAAAAAAAAAAAAAAAAAGGGGGAGAATAAAATAAAAAAAACTTTTTCTATTTCTAATTTTTTTTAAAAAAAAAAAAAAAAAAAAAAAAAAAAAAAAAAAAAAAAAAAAAATTATATTTTTAAATTTTAAATTTTAAAAAAAAAATAAAATAAAAAAATTTTTTTTTTTATATAAAAATATTTTTTTTTTTTTTTTTTAATTTAAATTTTTTTTTTTTTTTTTTTTTAACTATAATTTTTTTTTTTTTTTTTTTTTTTTTTTTTTTTTTTTAATTATCTTTTTTTTTTTTTTTTATTTTTTTATTTTTATATTTTTTTTTCTTTTTCTTTTATTTTTTTTTTTTTTTTTTTACCTTTTTAAACGTGACGTGTATATGTATATGTTTATTTGAATATGTGTATATATACGTGAGGTGAAAACCAAAAACTGCTAAAACAGAAGAACATTAAGGCTTACCAAAACACACCTTGATGATCCATCAATAATAATAATAATAATAATAATAATAATAATAATAATAATAATAATAATAATAGGAAGAGGCTACTTTGCATGGTGTCATGACATGGTCCTATTCTTTTAGATGGTCAAATTCCTAACTATTCATATTTAAAAGGTAACTCTAAAAGGTTAAGTTTATGATTAAGAGCAAAGTTAGCACTCCTGTCTTTGCTGTAGACAAACAGTCAAGTGAAACAGTGTCTTCCAGAGGGACTGTCCTATGACTTCAATTGTATAACACTGAACAAATTACTCATTCAAATATTTCATGATATCATCTAATTAAACATTACAACAATGTCAAATTTAGCACAGGCTTAGTAATGTTGGGTTAATCAGTGGACTGAGTATATCTGTATGATTAGCAGGAATACAAGATGTTCAGCAATGCTACTTTTGCACGTCACATATGCCTAATGGCTTTACATCTACTTATTTTAAGACTAGAATATAATCACTATTAAATGAGATACTATTCCTGCAGTAAGATAAGACCTCTTTTCATTTTCAAAGGCCATTTCTGGAGGAATTTAAAGTGCATTGCATTAAGCTAATGCAGCCCTTATTTTACAGTGCTAGATTGTTCTCAGTCGTTAACCAGCTTGTGAGTGATTCCTCTTTTCATCTTGTTGGACATAAGATAAAATACTTTGTTTATTACAGTTCATTTGTATGCCATGCTTTTTGAAGCCACTATTCTGGTTACATGGCTAGAATGGTTTGACTCGAAAACAAGAAATCTGAATAACTTCAGTCTGAAATGACCTGACAAAACACACAAAACTCACACCTACACACATCTCATCCATTCAGACAGCATGTCACAATGCAAATGCAATTAATTTAAAACAATTTCCCAGCATTTTACTTTGTGTTGTAAACAGGAAATTAAAGTTTTTTTCACTGTTAGCTAAGCTCACCAAATGTAGCACAAGAACAAAATCATATTTATTGAACTTTTCCTCCTCCTTCACCAGCGTAACTGCAATATTTTCAATTCAAAATTGTGTCTGCTTATACAGAATGAAAATTGCCATTTTTTTAATCAGAAGAGCACTTTTCGTCTCTCTAAACATCAGTTAGGTGTAATCAGGCTATAATTTGCTTCGCCTGAATGAGAGGAAAACAAATCTCTCATTTCGGAGGCAGAACGGTAAAGGGTTTTGGCAGGTACAAACTGTGCCTGACTCAAAGTAAGGTGAGGAGAGAGAGAGTTCCCGGTCATCATGACCTTCAAGACTATTTTATATGGCTCTCAGTGCATGTCAGTGCCTCTGCCTCCTTTTGCTTTTGCTCACTGTGGGTTAAGGTATTGATTTGTGTAAAGCTGCTTGAGACCGTCTGCATTGTGAAAAAGTACTTTTAAAATAAACTAAAATCCTATTCTATTGTTTGTGCACCTAGTCTTGCTTGGACTTGTTCATGACCAGAAGTGGCACAGCCATACTAGAGCCTTGGATCATTTAATAAAAGTGTACTTCACCTTTACCCAAAATCCATTTGAACAAACAACATTAGATGTTAATTAACCAAACCGTCAAAAGGCTGATCTGTGTTCATACATGAAAACAGCTAGGGAAGATAGCACATAGAGTTGGACTGTCACTGGAGACTATAATGATGCACAAAACTAACTCAAACAGACTGTATTTACCGATTATCTTACACAGGGTTGCAGGTGAGCCTGAAGCCTATGCCAGGGGACTTGGGCACAAGGCAGGGGCACAAACGCAAACAAATTCCCACACCATGGACAGTTTGGAAATGACAATCAGCCTACGATGCATGTCTTTGGATTGGGAAGAAACACCCGAAGGTGGCATTTGAACCCCCACCCCTGGGGGAATGAGGCAAATGTGCAAACCCCTAAGCTAACATGCCCCCATGTATATCAACATCCATCCAGCAGAATCATGGGGGAACTAAGAGCCAACAGCCTTTTCCAGTGGACTCACACACTATGAACAATTTAGAAATGCCAATCAGCCTACAATGCATGTCTTTGGACTGGGGGAGGAAACTGGAGTTCCTGGAGGAAACCCCTGAAGCACAGGGAGAACATGCAAACTCCACATACACAGGGTAGAGGTGGGAATCAAACTCTCAACCTCAGAGGTGCAACACAAACATGCTAACCACTAGCCACCATGCCCCCTGTATAGCAACATGATAATTGAAATTTAGTCAAAAATGTATAGCATTTGTGATGTTTATCTAATTCAATAACCAGCTTATGACTGGTGTAGAAGCCTTGTGTTTCCTTGCTGCTCCCTGGTTTCTCTCATTCCTGCTCGCTGACTGAAAATGTTCACTATAATATTACTAGGGGTGCAATGGATTGCAGTTGATCCGTGATCCGTATGGATCACAACCCGCGCCTTGAAATGCATGTGAGCCATGGATTAATTGCGCATTTTTGTAACTTGCAGATTAATCATAATTGTTTAACGATTGCAGAGTGAAAGACAGTTTTGTTGCCGATATTGCTTTTTAAATAATTTTGTTCCTTACAACTATACAGAGCAGTCACATGTGTTCTTAGGGCATTAATCAGTCAGCACTGGGTAGCGGAGGAGCAGATGAACTGGAAAAGCCTCCCGCATCATTCAAATCGCATGTATGGGAGCATTTTGGATTCCCAGTAAAATATAATGATGATAGAAGTGTGGTGGACAAAACTGTTACAGTATGTAGGCACATTGGCATGAGCAAGCTACATGAAAGTAGCAATACATCGAGCATGGCCACGCATCTGAAGCGACATCATCCTGGTGTGCTAATGACAGGATCCAAAACACAGCAGCAACAGCAACTTCTCACTACTGCATTTAAGCAGCCCTTTGCAGCAGAATCAGAATTGGTAATTGCTTTAGCCCGAGCAATTACCAAAGCTATCAGGATATTCATTGCTGCAGACATGAGTCCATACTCCGTTGTGGAAAACAAAGGGTTTAAAAATATGTTGAAAGTGCTTGGGCCATGCTATGAAATACCCTCATGCACCCACTTCAGCATGAAGATCGTGCCAGAATTTTTACGAACAGGAATAAATCGAAATGGTCACAGACATATTGCATCCTCTATTGCGATCACCACAGACATGGACATCAAGGGCTACAGAAAGCTAGGTAACTGTGACTGCTCACTACATCACAGCGGAGTGGGAGATGCAAAGTCCGGTGCTACAGACACACCCCCTCTATGAGAGACACACAAGCACAAATCTAGTGCAAGTACTGATAGATGCAGTAGCAGAGTGGTTGTCAAAGAGGCACAATACATGTAGCAATATACCAGTCACCACAGATAATGCCAAGAACCAAGTAAATGCAGTGATAGAAGCTGGACTGGGGCCACAGATAGCTTGCTTTGCACATGTGATAAATTCAGCACCCCAAAGGGAAATCTCAGTGAACTAGATGGACTGCATTTGCTTAAGATCAAGCAAGAAATGCTACAGCTACCAGCCCACAAGCTCATACACAATGTCACAACAGGATGGAATTCCACTTATGACATGTTGGAGCACTATCTTGAGCAACAGGCAGCTATATACTATGCACTGACAGAGAAGACACTGAAAAAAAACATCAGACACATTGTCAGCTTGTCTGTGAAAGTGGCAGAGGAGATCCTGTGGCTGCTCAAACCTCTCAAAACAGTCACAACCCTATTGAGCACTGAAAATGCACCTTCTGTGTCCATGATCCTACCTCTGAAAACCATGATTCTACAATATATGGCTACAAATGAGGAAGGCAGCACCATTACTAGAGATGCCAAAGCTGCCAATAGAGGCAGAAATGTTCAAATGTGAAACCATATTTTTGGGGTCCAAAAAATCAGATCCATGACTCGAATAGGATTGTAAAACTAATAAGGCACAAGCAAGAACTAGGCACAGCTATGATTACCTACAGGAGCTCGTGCCTATGGCCAAATCACAGTTGTGCTCTTGGTTGTGTGCTATAGGGGAATTGAAGCCCAGTGGTTAAGACATTGGGCTACCAATTGGAAGGTTGTGAGTTCAAACCCCACTGCTGCCACTGGTTGTCCCTTGAGCAAGGCCATTAATGCTCAAATTTATAAATGAGATAAACTGTCGTGTTTATTTATTTGGCAGCATCTGATGTTAGATGATTAAGAAACTGACAGCGATACAACTGCTTATTCAACTAAATGTTGTGACTTGTGAATACTATGTTTGTGACTCTATGAGAAAAATTTTTCTAAACCGCTGGCAACAAAAGTGAGTACACCCCTAAGTGAAAATGTCCAAATTGGGCCCAATTAGGTGTTTTTCCCCAGTGACTTGTCAGTGTTACAAGGTCTCAGGTGTGAATGGGGAGCAGGTGTGTTAAATTTGGTGTAATTGCTCTCACACTCCCTCATACTGGTCACTGGAAGTTCAACATGGCACCTCATGGCAAATAACTCTCTGAGTATCTGAAAAAAACAATTGTTGCTCTACATAAAGATGGCCTAGGCTAGAAGAATATTGACCCTGACACTGAGCTGCAGCACAGTGGCTAAGACCATACAGCGGTTTAACAGTTCCACTCAGAACAGGCCTCGCCATGGTTGACCAAAGAAGTTGAGTGCACGTGCTCAGCATCATATCCAGAGGTTGTCTTTTGGAAATTGACATATGAGTGCTGCCAGCGTTGCTGCAAAGGTTGAGGGGGTGGGGGGTCAGCCTGTCAGTGCTCAGACCATACGCCGCACACTGCATCAAATTGGTCTGCTTGGATGTCGTCCCAGAAGAAAGCCTCTTCTAAAGATGATGCACAAGAAAGACAAGCAGACTAAGGACATGGATTACTGGACCTATGTCCTATGGTCCGATGAGACCTAGATAAACTTATTTGGTTCAGATGGTGTCAAGCGTGTGTGGCGGCAACCAGTTGAAGAATACAAAGACAAGTGTGTCTTGCCTACAGTCAAGAATGGTGGTGGGAGTGTCATGGTCTGGGGCTGCATGAGTGTTGCCGACACTGGAGACTACAGTTCATTGAGGGAACCATGAATGCCAACATGTACTGTGACATACTGAAGCAGAGCATGATCAGTATGCAGTATTCCAGCATGATAATGACCACAAACACACCTCCAAGACGACCACTGCCTTGCTAAAGAAGCTGAGGGTGAAGGTGATGGACTGGCCAAGCATGTCTCCAGACCTAAACCCTATTGAGCATTTGTGGGGCATCCTCAAACGGAAGGTGGAGGAGCACAAGGTCTCTAACATCCACCAGCTCCATGATGTCGTCATGGAGGAGAGGAAGAGGACTCCAGTGGCAACCTGTGAAGTTCTGGTGCCCTCTCCATGCCCAAGAGGGTTAAGGCACTGCTGGAAAATAATGGTGGCTACACAAAATATTGACACTTTGGGCCCAATTTGGACATTTTCATTTAGGGCTGTACTCACTTTTGTTGCCAGCGGTTTAGACATTAATGGCTGTGTGTTGAGTTATTTAGAGGGGACAGCAAATTTACACTGGTATACAAACTGTACACTCACTACTTTACATTGTAGCAAAGTGTAATTTCTTCAGTGTTGTCACATTAAAAGATATAATCAAATATTTTCAAAAATGTGAGGGGTGTACTCACTTTTGTGAGATAATGTACATGGCTAATCTGGAGGGAAATAAAGATCATAGAGGACCACCTGTAAATGATGGAATTACTCCAGGTCCAAATGTCAATTTAATCCTATCCAAATAGGGGCTTCAGACACGCCCAGCAAAAGTAATCACTTCTATTCTCCATCCATCCATCCATCCATCTTCTACCGCTTACTCCTTTTCAGGGTCACGGGGAACCTGGAGCCTATCCCAGGAAGCATTGGGCACAAGGCGGGGTACACCCTGGACATGGTGCCAGTCCATCGCAGGGCACAATCCCATACACATTCACACACCCATTCCTACACTACGGACACTTTAGACACGCCAATCAGCCTACCATGCATGTCTTTGGACTGGGGAGGAAACCGGAGTACCCGGAGGAAACCCCTGCAGCATGGGGAGAACATGCAATCTCCGCATACAGATGGCTCCAGCTGGACACAAACACCAGACTTTGAAGGTGTGAGGCAAACGTGCTAACGACTAAGCCACCGTGCACCCCTATATTATATTATATTATATTATATTATATTATATTATATTATATTATATTATATTATATTATATTATATTATATTATATTATATTATATTTAATACATATTACATCACACAGCAAGAACACAATCTACGTGCAGTTTACACACCTCCTTGACTTATTAACACTAAACACTAAAATGCTTTTCAGCATTTTGAGCACATGGCCAGACTTATAAGACACTCACTATAATGGGTTTTTAATTAATTTTTTTTATACCACAGATCAATATGAGGTACTGAACAAATACACCCAGTTTGCTTTATTGTAATCCTTCTGTTCAGAACAATGGTGTGTCAGCACAACATAAATGAGGCATCCTACTTTGAAGCGGTCAGGTGAAGCGGTCACAGCAGGGGTCTTACCTACAAAATAAAAGAGAGAGGGAGAGAGAGAGAAACAAAAAACAAAGGTGAGAGAGAGAAACAATCTAGCCAATCAATTCAAATCATATTCAGAAGACAGTGAAAGATGAGGGAGGTGACAGAGTTGCTGCGAGGCTTGACACAACCTGTAATTGTTATTTAATCAGTTTACTTCAGTGTGGTAATGTGAGTCGTCTCCTCCCTTTTCTAATTAAACACACATCACCTTTTTCCTCCCAATCTCCTCTAATGCACATGCTCAGAGATTCGCTTGATACATGGCAACACAATTACAGAGAAATTAATTGCAGTAATGGCTTCCCTGGCTGCCAGAAAAGCGGCAGTGCATTCATAACGCAGGCTCCTGAGAGGCCGACCCTCAGACTGCTCTTGAAGGAGAGAGGTCACTCGTTCATTTCGTACTCATTCATCTTGTCCCAGGAGGAGCCGTGCTGCGTGAGGAGGCCACTCACATCTGCTTTGTGTGGCTTCACACAGCTGCTCACTGACTGAGAATGATGCGGGTGGGCCGGGAAATCGTGTTCAGGTCAGACCTGGGATGCTAGGTTTGAAGCACTAGCACAAAGAAACAGTAGCACACTAGCTTCTGATCCCCACAAAGGCTGCTTTTTTGTCAAATTGGTAGGAATAGATAAGCGAGAATCAACATAAAAAATTTTTTTTGCTAATCCGTACACGTAAATGGCACTGCTAAATGCTTTACAATAGTAAAAAACAAAACTTGAACCGACTAACAAGAGTAAAAAAAAATCAATGAATCAAATCAATATTAATATGTCTAATTGCGAGGAAAATCAATATTAAAAAGTGTCTCTTTCACCCAAATGACAACAGCACTGGCCACAGACTGTTTGCTAAATAACAACAACATTAGCAAAGCTAACCAGCTACCGATACACAACACTGTGCTAATGTGTTAAGCAGCTGGATAATGCTACAAGCATTAGACATTTTTGTTTTCACGTAATGTTAGAATAATTTTAATGTGAAATTAATGCCAAGTTTGCACTCAAACATCCTTGTGTTTAGTGAGCAGTTTTGTTTTAGAATATTTATCAGGATGTAAAACAATTTACTTTCTCAGAGGAAGAACATTAACTATGAATAGTGTTCGAAAGCAATCTGTTTTTCAATCAGACTAGATCACTGAGGACTGACAGTTAATCTTAAGCTGTCCTCTGAGAAGCTAGAAATAAATAACTCCAAGTTATAGTAGTGTATACCTAGCACACTGGACATAAACATATAGACATAAACCTGGTGAAATATACCCTAAAAGCACGTAGCTATTGATCTTTAAAAGTTAAGAAGGCATAGATAAATGCTACTCACAGACAAGTTGACAAAAGGTCACACTTCAGACTCTGCTCAAGGAAGATGGTCATTATTGGATGTTGAGGCCCTACTGTAAATCTCATTCTTTTATGGCCTTGGCTTTGAGGCATTTAAGAGCGTAATAATGCAGTAAGCTCTCAGCAGTGTTTTAGTCCACACACCATGGCTCCAGAACTGGAGAATTAGCCGTGTGATGAATGAGATTGCTTCTCCATTCAGCCTTCCTCACCTCATTTGGTGACTTTTCACACCTGACGTTTCAGGGGATGATAATAAACGTATGATGGTTGAGGCCATCTCGAAAATGACGATCATTTCATCTCGTAAGAGAGCTGAGATAAAATCTTTCATCCTGTAAATTAATGGGAGGTTCACATAAAAAATAAAATAAATAAAAAAGCAGATGATCTTCTCTCTCAATAACTCACCAAAGGGCCAGTTTAACAAAGATTTTTTTGCTGAATTGGAAACGCTGACCTCGAGTCACAGTTTTTTCTATTATCTCCCAATGAATGCTATTGTAAGAAAATGGATGGGAGCTGATCTCTAATCAGCACTTTTACTCTCCGACATTTGCATGGGTCCAGGAATTAGACTTTACCTGGGGAAGATAAGAGATGGAGCTCTGAGAGATAGGGGCCACTCTAAATTTGAAACAGTCATCTGACTGCGATAAATGAAAGCACTTTATCTGTCAGTTGAAGTAGATAGATCTTTATTCATTAGACAGGTTTATCCAGGAGAAGCTTACATTGTCCCATCTGACCCTGCCATCAGTGTGCCCCTTTCTGATATATTTTTAAAGCATATTAATGATAAAGGAAATTGGCAGTCACATCTGTTGCTTCTGTCAGCACAACTTGTGTTGCCATCAATAAAACCAATTAGTACAAGCTAATGAAAAACAAAATGTAAATCAAATTATCCTCAAATGCATGGATGTTTCACTAGCCATTAGTACATGCACTGGAAGGCAGCAGGGGTATAAGCAGGACCTTTGGAGACCCAGAAACTTTTTATCTAATACAGATGGATATACAAGCTGTGTTAAATTGTCAAGCCATTATATTCACAAAAACAAATATCAAACAAAATTAATGCTGCTATATTTTTTTGGTTTTGTTTATCACTCCTCAAAAATACAAATACAAACATACA